TTAGGGAGAAAAAAGTTCTAAAATAATGTCTGAAAGCAGCTGAAATCATTGTTATTAAGAACCTTGAGTAAGGAAATAATTTTAAAAAAAGCACCTAGCAGCCATAAGCAAGTTCAAGTTCACAGAATTTGCAAGATTATAAAAAGATGAGAAAAATAACCTACTTATTTAACCCACTAAAATACCACACATCTTAGAAAATAGTAAGTAGTTCAAAAATTCTAACAGAAAAATATTTATATGTATCCCAAGAAAATCCCAGGAAACAATTTTAATCTCATGGTCATGTACACTTTGAAAAATTATCTATTAAGGTGAGTGGTCACATTGGAATCACTAAAAAGTTGTGCTAAATAATTAACATTATCTCTTTTTAGATAGATTTGGGATGCTTATGGCATCCTTGTAAGTAAAATGTAGAAATGGGAGATCTATATTTGTAGTTAGATAATTATAACCAAAGAGTGTTACCAGTGGATAACTGCCAACATGAAGACAAGTTTCCTTATTCTTTTAGTTTTATAAAAATAGATTTCCGGATATAAGTGAAATATATGAAAAATATATTTATCAAGTAGCTACAAAGTTAAGTATATTTTCAATATAGTATAGCTTTTAAAAAATCACCTTTTCCAACTTGTTCTTAGTAAAAACAGCCTTATTCAAGGGCAAGAACTTATGAAATACTTTGTGCTAAAGGCTGGAGATTTATAAACATTTAAAAAAAATCAAAGAGTAGGCTGGGCATGGTGGGTCACGCCTGTAATTCTAGCACTTTGGGAGGCCGAGTTGGGTGGATCACCTGAGGTCAGGAGTTTGAGACCAGCCTGGCCAACACGATGAAACCCCGTCTCTACTAAAAATACAAAAAATGATCTGGGCGTGGTGGCCGGTTCCTGTAATCCCAGCTACTCAGGAGGCTGAGGTAGAACTGCTTGAACCCAGGAGGTGGAGGTTGCAGTGAGCTGAGATTGTGCCATTGCACTCCAACCTGGGCAATAAGAGTGAAACTCTGTACTGGTGGTGGGGGGTAAAATCAAAGAGCATTACTTTTTGGGAGAGAAAGAAAAGCAAAACAACAGATACGATATAGTGTAAATCAAAGTATCCCTAAGTGCTTTGGGAATACAAAAGTGTAGCTAACATAACCTGGGAGTGATAGTGGTGGTGTGTAAGGTTGGGGAGAAGTCTAAGAAGATGGGAAAGCTGAGCTAAATCTTCTAAATCATCTAATGTAAAGGTGGTTTACTCTAGTAATTGAGGAATAAAGATATAAAATATCTAGGGGACTGCTTACCTAGTACCTACCTCTGCTCTTTACCTGAGAACTGCTTTATCTGTCTGCTTTCCAATACACCATTCTACACAGCTACTGTGCAGCTAATAGGTTCTTGCGTTATTCCACAACCCTAGCTAATAACTGGTTAGTGATCCAACTAGGACAAATAGCAATCCTTGTCAAAAATATTTTTTGAAAGCCAGTAGTGAGACAAAGAATAAGCAAAAGCAAAAAAGAGGCTGCAAGAGCCTGTCAGTCTCCGATTTTTAGCTGCTCCTTCCTCCCAGGTTGCTGCTCAATTGTGGAGTCCAAGAGTCAAAAGATTAACTACTTTCCCTAAACCAGCTAAAATGTTGGACAAGGAAGTTCAAATACAAGATCAATGGGAAGAGTTATACTCAACTGGACTGGGTATCTTTACCCTTCTATCTTAAGACTCAATATATAAAGCTATAGTCACTTATATTCCTTAGTAAATACTAACTGTATAAAAACAGTACTAAAATTTAAGTAATTTTTGTTTCATTAGTTTACATTTTCTTCAAGCTACAAATTAGTTATGATTTTTACAATAAGTCAACATCCTTACCAATGTCTGTAAACTATACCTGGGTTGTAAGCAAAGCTATTTAAAACAGTAGTAAAATAACTTACCAAAAATCTCATTCTAGCTTGTATTTGAGATGCTGAGTAGGTCTTTTATGATTAAAACTCAAGGGGAGGGAGACCAAATAAAAATAGTGGAATATCAATCAGCAGAATGACAAAGGGTTTCAAAGTCATTTTCTGCTTTTATTGGGAATAATTTATGGCAAAAATTTTATGCTTCTGGCTACCAAAGGCTAAATTCACTTTGTTAAAAAAGTGACCATTAGTAAAAATGAGTCTCATCCTTGGATAGACCTATATAAAGCATCCAACTAATTAAGAACCAAAAATGAATGTCCTAGTAACATTTTAAAATTATATACAAATAGCTAAAGCATTCTATATAAACTACAACTTTCTCTTCTTCTTTTTTTTTGAGACAGAATCTCGCTCTGTTGCCCAGGTTGGAGTGCAGTGGTGCCATATGGGCTCACGGTAACCTCTGCTTCCCGGGTTCAAGTGATTCTCCCGAGTAGCTGGGACTACAGGTGCGTGCCACACCCAGCTAATTTTTTGTATTTTTAGTAGAGATGGGGTTTCACGGTGTTAGCCAGGATGGTCTCAATCTCCTGACCTCGTGATCCGCCAGCCTCGGCCTCCCAAAGTGCTGAGATTACAGGAATGAGCCACTGCACCCAACCTGACTTTTTAAAGAATTTATACTCACAATGATTCCACATGCACAGAGCTATGTTTAAATATATACATCTTTTACGAGACAGGGTCTCCCTCTCCTGCTCAGGCTGGAGTGCAGTGGCATGACCTCAGCTCACTGCAACCTCCGCCTCCCAGGCTCAAGCTATCCTTCCACCTAAGCCTCCTGAGTAGCTGGGACTATAGGTGTACACCACCACACCTGGCTAATTTTTGTATTTTTTGTAGAGACGGGGTTTCATCACGTTGCCCAGACTTAAGTATTTTTAATGTAAGGCACTAGTCTACATATTAGACTTTTACTTTTATTGACAACTAAATTAAACTGTGATTTTAAATTAAGCCTTAAGCCAGAGTTGAGTGACACCGAAAAGTATATATGTTGTATAATCCACGATCGTGTACCAAAAATCCAGAGAACAATACTGCATAGATTAAATCTAGCACTATTTCTATACTTGCATGTGGTTTGCATCTAAATGGGAAGATTGCCCCAACATGCCATACTTTTATATTTCCAGTAATATTTTTTAAGTGTTTTTTGCTGTTTTGGTTTCACTAGTCTTACTGAAAAAAGTAAAAAAAATCACCAGTTTTGTGCAAAGAGTGCTAGTCGATGCTAATAAAAACTACATCTTAGAGATTAGGGGCTAGGAGCAAAGTAAAAAACACTGGATTCAGTGTAAAAGATGCATTAAGACAGGCTTACTTGTACTTAGATACGATAATCACTCCAGCTTGTAATTAGTTGGGCATATATTAACCAGCAGATCTACTGTTATTGCTGAGCTGCAACTGCTGAAATGTGTTAAGATACAACATATAGCTCCATTAATAATGAAAACTGAGTAGCAATATAATTAATTTTAGAAGTGCGTGGTGCAAGTTTGGTTCTACTAAACTTATACCAAAAAACTGGGGTATTGTGAAAAACTACTAAGGAAAGGCAGTAAGTAAAAATAACTTTTACAAGCATTTGGTTTACGGTTTCAGCAGATCTGTTATCAAAGAGCAGACCTCTCAATTTACCCAAATCACAAGGGGGTGCATATAGTAAACACTGTTTATTATAAAATGCCCTTTGTTCTTCAGTCCTTCTGAGTTTGGTGTTTCAGTGAAAAAGAATGTTGGTTGAGTAATGGTACAACCCACAGAATAGCTTAAAGATAAGGAAAGGATGACTCATACAGATTTATTCAGCAATTTGTCCCATGTGAATACCTCAGCAAAAAGAATGGAGGGGCAGCAAAACGTCTACCAAACTAGTTAAGTTGTATGTCTTAAATCTATTTAAAATCAAGTTTAAAAAACTTGTTTAGATTGTATTTACGTGCAATAAAAAGACTAACTTACACATAAAGAAATCTTCTACACACTAAAATGTTTTACTGGTGTATGTGAACCAGTAAAGTGAAAAACATGTAAGGCTTTGCAAGCCATTTTTGAGATACTTGGAATTTCAGGTTCAGATATAGAGAAATCAAGGGTTAAATTTTGGCTGCATACTAACATTTCAAAGCTTGCCTGCTTGTTTTTCTTTTAGAATTCTGAAAATGTACTTACTGTTAAAAAATAAACATTTACTACCAATAATAATAACAAATCATTATGTCTGAATGCTTTACAAACCGTAGTACTTCAAATAGAATTCAGCATGTACAAGTCAAAGACAGTATTTAGAAGGAAACAACAGAAATATGCTAACATTTTTTCTCACCACAAACACAGGCATCTTACTAATTTAGTTTCAATTGGATATCACAAATGACCTTTACAGTCTACTTTATAATTTAAATAGATCGAAGGGTTTTGATGAAAATATTTAAAAGATGAGCAAGTTCACTATTAATTTGTTTGAACAGCAGGTTTTAAACACAGTAGGTTCACCTGGAGAGACTGGACTACCTATCCTTCTGTTTTCACATGTTAAAGGTGAAGGTAGGTGTCTCAAATTACTAGCAATAGGTGTGTAAAGTAACAGTCCATACACTTTTTAACCAGATTTAATGTTATAATTTATTGTAGACAATTAAGTGCCAGGTATTATGTGCTTTACTTTCATTTCAAGTTTCATCCAACACTGGGTTCTTACTACAAATGAACAAAGGCACCTATTATTTTTTGGCTTCATTTGGCCAGAAGTTAGGAAGACTGGAGAACTATAAGATCTAAGCACGTTATAGGGATTCTACTTCCCCTTTGCTTGACAATCATGGTGGAATGGGATCCTGGTATGCAACCATACTTTTCCTTCATATTTGCTTTGATTGATCTAATAGGCCAGACAAGAAATCAGTTGAGTTTTACTAAAAAGTGTAAAAGCCAGAGGCTTCTTTACACTTAAATTGATTAAGCAACTTACATTTTACCTTATCTCAACTAAACCATCCAATGGAAGGAATATACTAGAAAACAGTACCTTTTTGGTTTCAAATTGTGCTTCCTCCTGACAGCATCCTCTGCAATCAGGATCCAGCTGAAGCAGGTTGAACTGTCCGAGAAGATCACAAGAGCTGCAGAGCAAGTTGCTAGAAAAGCCTAACTCTCTGCATGCCTCTGATGAAAACTCTGCCCCAAAAGCAGAAACCTGAAAATAAAAAATGGGGAAATAAAACACAATTCCATGTTTATATTACAAAGTTTCCCCAAAAGAGAACATGGGGTTGTCAAAAACTAACACATTGAAGACAAGTTACTGAAATGTTTCTTTCGGAGATACATTCTTTTAAATTTTAATTTAATTTTTTTTTGAAATGGGAGTCTTGCTGTTGTCACCAGGCTGGAGGGCAGTGGTGCAACCTCGGCTCACTGCAACCTCTGCCTCCTGGGTTCAAGCGATTCTCCTACCTCAGCCTCCTGAGTAGCTGGGATTACAGGCGCACGCCACCACACCTAGCTAATTTTTGTATTTTTAGTAGAGACGGGGTTTCACCATGTTGCCCAGGATGGTCTTGATCTCTTGACCTCGTGATCCGCCCACCTCCTCAGCCTCCCAAAGTGTTGGGATTACAGGCATGAGCCACCGCACCCAGCAATAAATTCTTTTTTAAACTCTGTAACCTTACACAATAATCTGGTTTCTCCCACCTCCCCTACAAGCTTTTTTTCTTAAACATCTATCATCTTTCAGCTTAGCTAAAACATGGATTAACAAGAAAAGATATATCATTGTTCATGATGTTTATTACATAAATATTTTCTTAAAGATTTATTGTTTTAAAAAGGAATTTTCTTATAAGAAAAAATAATTTTAGTTTCATTTTAAGAACTCAACATCTGTTCATAAGGGTCTATGGAGTAAGATTAACTGTAGGGTTTATCTACAGTCACATTCAGCAGAAGGACAGGAAAGGGGATGGTGTAGGCAACAGCATGCCAGAATTCAAGCTTTTGATTTTAGGTAATAGTGCCACCACTTACAAGATGTGTGACCCTGGGCAAACTATCCTCCCCAAGCTTTCCTCACTCATAAAGTAAGGGGCAATACTTCCTACATAAAACAGATTGCTATGGTTACTTTATATAAATCATTATGTTTAATCAAAGATGATTTAATCAATCAGAATGGCTGACAAAAGCAGGCTTTCAACAATATTCTCTTCCCTCATCCATTCTTTTTTATGTATCAGTGAATGTGGTATACCTCCATTTGTCTGAGGCCAATCCCTCTACTTGCTCTTTGGATTCTATCTTCTCTATCTTCACAGATACTTCATTTCATCAATACCTCAACCTTTAGGTATATTTAAGTCCTATGGTCCTAACTGCTCTTCCCACATTCTGTCATTTCTGAATTGTTACTACAGCTTGGTTTCTATTATTTTTTCCTAACTCCCCAAACTCATTAATATAGCCTGGTTTCTGCTCCTACTACTCCACAAAATTTGCCCCAAATTACCAAATGCAAAGGTATTCAAAACTGTTCTGCTTCAACTACCCCGTCCAAAAGCTTGTCCTCCTTTTCTTTTCTCTTCTCTGCATCTCTTAAATGCTATTGTTTCCCACAGTTCTGTTTTTGGCTCTCTCTTAGTTTTACATGCCTTCTATTTATTACTGCATATTTATCCATGGCTTCAGATAAGCATTTATTGAAAACTCTTAAATATTTTTTCTTGAATGTCAGGCTTCCAAAGCCAACAGTCCACTCAACATCACATTTAGGTGTTGAATAAGCATTGCAAGTTCAAAATCTGCAACAGTGAAACTTACTTTTTTCTTAAATCTATTCTTCCTAAGGTATTCAGTATCTCAATAAAATGGCACCATTTCTCTGACAAGCTAGTTGCCCAGATCAGTCATCCTACTGACCTACACTCCATATTCTTCGCCATTCTCACAACCAATTAATATATTTTCATAATTCTCTTAAAGAGCTCTCAAGTCTTTTCCTGCCTCAGTGGCTTAAATGTTCACTGCCAAAGCTACTTCTCATTACTTCCTCAATTCCTCCAGCTATAAGGAATTCCTATAGTACCCTGAAGTATAAAAGCCCTACTCAAACACACTTTTGCTCGTAGTCTCCCCTATATTTAAGATTCTGTTTCCACTTCTTCACCTTGTAATATCCTACTTACTTTCAAGAATCTAATCAGTATGGGTCTTTTAGGAAGCGCTCCTGACAATAAATAAATAAGATCTCAATCATTAGCCACAACTTTCTTCGAGAAAGTTGTGCACAGTTGTAAAACAGTACTGTTCATGACACTGTACTATGTAAATATGACTCCTGAACAATACTATGAACTCTTCTGATGGCAAGCATTAGTTGTTTCTCTGTCTTTCCCTCACTTCTGACAGTTTTCATATACCTGCTGAATACATAAATTGGACAAACCCACAGCTTCAGGTAGGGAAAATTTCAGATTGACTGCAACTGATTGATCTTCTAGACCAAGGGTCTGCAAACTTTATGCAAAGGGCCAGATAATTATGTTAGGCTTTTGTGGCTATATGGTTTCTGTACATCTATTCAACTCAGCTATGGCAGTGCAAGAACTAGTCACAGATAACACACGAATGAATGAATGAATGAGTGTGTCTGTGTTCCAGTGAAACTTGGTTTTATTTTGCTATTTATGTTAATTCGTTCTACAAAAACAGGGTTGACTGAATTTGGCCCACCTGTTGCAGTGTGTCAATCCTTTTCTAAACTCACGAGGTAGATTAATATCCAGTGGCATTTCCCAATGAAAAGAAAATTTAAGTACTTGTTGGCATATTCACCCAAAATGCTGATTTGATATTTTATACATCTTTAATCCTATCTCTGTAATAATGTCATATGTATATATTTTTCGAAACAGATGAAACATCACAGCCTAGTGGGAGGGATCTGAGACTTTATTGGTTAATTTGTGTGGTTGATTTTTCTAGTTTAACTATAAGACACTTGCTACTACACTAGTACTTTGGGTAATTTCTCCATCAGTAAAGTGATCTGCCTCATCTATTTCACAGGTTAATTTGAAAATCAAATATGACAATGAGCAGAATGTGTTTTCCAAAGACAAGGCAATCAATATGTATCAAAGGCTGCATCAATGTGTACACATCATTTCACATGTTCTTACAATGTTAGTCCTCCACTGAGAAGTGGGATCTATGTACCCTCCCCTTGAATCTGGGCAGGGGCCATGGCTTTTTTGAACAACAGAGTTTAAAGGAAGTTATGTGATTCTGAGGGTAGGTCGTAAACGAGCAAACAGCCTCTGCCTGGCTAGCATTCTTTTTCTAGGAACATCAGCTTTGGAACTTAGCCAATCTGCTGTATAGAAGTCTATACTAGAGAGACAACATGGAAGGGCCCATGTAGAGAGCAACTGAAAACTCCAGCTGACAACCAGTATCAGCTACTAGACATGTGAGTAAACCACCTTCAGATTTCAGGCCCTAATGTTTCAACTGAGGTCTGAGACACCATAGAACAGAGAAGCCATCCCTGCTGTGCCCTGTCAGAATTGCTAACCCTCAGAATTTGAAAGCAAAATAACAAACTGTTTTACACCACTAAATTTTAGGGTAATTCTGTTTTGCAGCTATAGTTACTGAAAGAGGCAGAAAGAGTGAAATCACTTTGGAAATTGTGAACTCCGGAAATTGTGAACTCCTTAACAAGCGTAAAAAACTGTTACCAAAACCGTTAAACAACAAAATAAGAACCTCAAATGAATAATCATGCAATCATACTACTTGGTTTTATTCTGGCATTTACGGAGCACCTACTGACTGAGCATGACTATGCAAAACATCATGTATTTCAAAGTCTTAACACATCTAGATTCAAATGCCATCACAGAGCAACCTTACTTCTAAACAGGGAGTATTATCATTTATCTCACGGAGTTTTGAGGATTAAAGAAGTGCACAGAAAGCATCTAGCATCCCGCCCAGTACACAGTAGTTACTGAATACATGTTGGTATTAGGCTCACCTTCCACTGTGAAAGCACACTTAAAAATTACAAAACACTATATAAATGTTTTTATCACTATACTAGACATGGGATAAAAGATTAAGTATAGGGGAGACAGAAGGTATCGAGTTTCTTAAGTAAACACTTTTTTCTAGCTGTTCTATCACTGGTTTTGCAGACTTAAGGTTTTGAATTTAAGGACATCAGAAAGTATTTTTAAGTACCTGGCAGGTAAATGCTAATATACGAGAGTTTGATATTACTCCTGCCATCCTTTTATTGCCAAAAGTAACTGATTGGCATTTAAATTTGCACATTAAGAGCAAATATTAAATTTTAGATTAATTAGCCACACTTGAAAGAAAGACAAAGATTCTAAGGACAGGGTTCCTGGCTAGGATAACCATTTAGCTTTCTCTATTTCAAAGCAAAATTGACAAATTAAGTGGCTTGGTTGGGTGCGGTGGCTCACGCCTTTAATCTCAGCGCTTTGGCAGGCCAAGGCGGGTGGATCACCTGAGGTCAGGAGTTTCAGACTAGCCTCGCCAACATGGTGAAACCCTGTCTCTACTAATAATACAAAAAAATTAGCCGGGGGTGGTGGTGCATACCTGTAATCTCGGTTACTTGGGAGGCTGAGGCAGGAGAATCGTTTGAACTCGGGAGGCGGAGGTTGCAGTGAGTTGAGATTGTGCCATTGCACTTCAACCTGAGTGACAAGTGTGAAACACAGTCTCAAAAAAAAAAAAAAAAAAAGGCTCTATTCCCTCCTTCTCCATGCATTACTCATTGTTTTATTTTTCTAGTATTAATGAGTTATTTCTAGATTAGAGTTGGCAGCAGAGAAACCGGATTAACTTTCCCATACCATTACCTTAAAAATCTGATATAGCTATACATTTTGTTACACTTACACCTACATATTCATTGTCTCTTCACTGGTCTTTATAACTCTCTGAGCAAACTTCAAATCTGAGACAAAAGCAAACAGATGGGATTACAGAATGAACTCTATGAAAATGAATACCAGAAACATGGCCATTACAGCAAGCTCTTATAAAGCAGCAGATATCTTGTTAAGTACTTTACATTATTATTCCATCTAATCTTAACCATCTTGTGAAACAGGTATTGTTATCACCATTTCATAAAGAAAAAAACAGGTTTAGGATAGT